TCGACTGTAATTGGTCAATTTCTTACGGCTTAAGGCTTAAAACACCTATTGTAGATCCGGGGTAAGTCCGGATCTACAATAGAATTTTAAGGCCCGTCTACAATACACGAGGTAAGAAGTAAGAGTAAGAAATTGACCAATCACAGTCGAATGTGAGAAGAATACTCGACTGTGATTGGTCAATTTCTTACTCTTACTTCTTACTCCGTGTATTGTAGACGGGCCTTGAACCGGAGCCATTAATTTAAGAAGACTCGGAAGAGGACGTGGTGTGGACGTTACATTTACTTGTTGGCATGAAAATTGTATGAAATTGATTATTACGATCATTAAATTGTAAAAAAAACGCTGTAATAATGTTGGTGCTGTTCGAGACCTCGGCCGGTTACGCGATATTTAAGGTAATTTCAAATTTATCAAAAATGCCGGACATCCTAACCTAAGTGAATGCGCACGTGTTGACTCATTCTATTTGCCAGCAGGAGTATCGCATATACAATGAAATTGTTTAATATGTAATATATAATATTACATATTGTTAAAAATAAAACAAGGGCTACGAGCCTAGCTAGATCTTAATGCTGGATTAACTATAAAAACATGTTTATTAAAACGAACGTTTCGACCACCTTTTCGATCGTTTCGGTCATTCTCAATGTCAAAATTAAATACAATTTGAAATCAACGACTCATTTGAAAAATAATAACTTACCAATTCACATGATGATTTGTACGGTAAATGTAATAAAATATAAATTCATCATCGCGTATGTACACCTTCGTTATAGATGGTTGTGAGCAATATATAAACGTGAAGAAATAGCTGATGAATCGGGTAATATGTAGATACGTTACAGCGCATGGTGGTCATTAAACGGTTATCTTACAAAGTGGCTTTAAAAACGCAGTCGCAACAGTTCTGAATTGCATTCTCAAACCAACAAATGACCAACTTTAAATATTGTCTGTTATCTAGTAATGCAATATCTAAGAGTATCATTTAAATACGGAAAAATTGAGATGCCTTGAGATCCAGCACTCGTCTCATTAGTAAAGACAAATCTAGTTTGGATATTAGATTTGTCTGCAATGTCCTTAACCTAAACGGCATATCTTCATTATGGCTATACGGAGCTCGATTACCAGAGGTGCGTTCCGTATCGCGCATGATGCATTCATTGTCCTTGTTTAACATTTGGTGAGCAACAAGGATAAACGATGCATTATGCGCATCGTGCGAGTAACGGAACGTACCCCAGATCCAATCAGAGGAGACCGGGTTACGTGATGCAGTTTGCTTCTCTCTCGCTGTGGGGCTCTGTAGCTGTAACGTATTTACATATTATCCGAATATTCATCAGCTATTTCTCCACATTTATATATATATTGCCCCAAACCATCCATAACAAAATTGTACATATGCGATGATAAATTTATATTTTATTACATTTACCGTGTAAGTCATCATATGTATTGGCAAGTTATTGTTTTTCAATTGAGTCGTTGATTTCAAATTGTATTTAATTTCATCATTGTGAATGACCCAATAGGGGTCAAAACGTTTGTTTTAGTAAACTTATGTTTTTGTAGTTAATCCAGCATTAAGGTATAGCTTGGCTCGTAACCTTTGTTTTATTTTTAATTTTATAAATTATTTGATCCTATTGTCTTTTACAATTATTACATATTGTATATTATAGATTTAAATGACAATTCGCTTGTAGGTTCTAGATGAAAACAAACTCGCCCAGTCGGAGGATCTTCACAAGGACTTTGAGACTCCAGAAGCCGCCAGTAGATTGTAAGTTTTTCTTTCAAGAATCTATAGGTTTATTTTTTATAGCTGAACTAGTGTACACTTTTTGTACTTAAAGTGAAATAAGTATATGTTTTATGTAGCAATAAAAAACAAACCTATTACTTCTTATAGCCCCAGTTGTACTATTTTATTTGATGTATCATGGTCCTCATATATTTTTTGCTTTACAGACTTAAGTTAACGTACTTTCACAAGTTTGAGGACACCACCGAAGCATTATGCGCCGCTACGGCGCTTGTAAACAGCAAGTTATCCAAATCTTTGAAGAAAACGCTCAGGAACTGCTGCATCGAGGCTCATGAACAGCTGGCGGTTGCAGATGCCAAACTGGGCTGTGCCATCAAGGATAAGCTGCAGTTATCCTGTGTAAGCAACACGGCAGTGCAGGAGTTGATGCGATGCATCAGAAGTCAATTGGATGGTTTGATAAGTGGGGTGACCGAGAAAGACAGGACAGCCATGACACTGGGCCTGGCGCACAATCTTTCCAGATACAAGCTGAAGTTCTCACCCGACAAAGTCGATACCATGGTAATACAGGCAGTATGCTTGCTGGATGATCTGGATAAGGAGCTCAATAATTACATAATGCGAGCGCGCGAATGGTACGGTTGGCACTTTCCTGAGCTAGGCAAAATCGTGACTGACAATCTTCAGTACATAAAGACGATGCATATACTTGGTCAACGAGAGAACGCTATCAAATGTGATCTGTCAGATATTCTGACAGAGGAAGTCGAGGGGAGAGTGAAGGAGGCGGCGGAAACCTCGATGGGCTCAGAGATCTCGGAATACGACGCTGAACACATGCAATGCTTATGTGTTGAGATACTTGAGCTTCATCAATACCGATCCCAGCTGTGCGATTATTTGAAGACTAGGATGATGGCATTAGCGCCAAACCTGACGGTTCTCGTCGGCGATCTGATCGGTGCCCGTCTGATATCTAAGGCCGGTTCTCTGACAAGTCTTGCTAAACATCCAGCATCTACTTTACAAATTCTCGGTGCAGAGAAGGCACTGTTCCGTGCTCTTAAATCGAAGAAGAACACACCCAAGTATGGCTTGATCTATCATTCACAACTTGTCGGACAGTCCTCGAACAAAAACAAGGGTAAAATATCCAGAATGTTGGCAGCAAAAGCCTCTTTAGCAACAAGAGTTGATGCATTGGGAGATACTACAAGCTTCGAACTTGGCGCGGAGCACAAAGTGAAATTGGAGGCACGATTAAGAGTGCTTGAAGAAGGTAATATCCGTCGGATAAGTGGCACTGCCAAAGCAAAGGCCAAATTCGAAAAATATCAAGTCAAAAACGAATACATGCAGTATTCAACATCTGTAGACTCAACACTGACAACTAAGAAGAGGCCATTAATTGAAGAGATCGAAACGAAGGAGAGCGAGGAAGTGCCTAAAAAGAAGAAGAAGAAATACAGCACGAGTTCTGAACGGATCAAGGAAGAAATGAAGGAGGAAGAACCGCAAACGGAAATAGAGTCGGTTACTATACCGAAGAAAAAGAAAAAACATAGTCTAGAGCTCAAAACTGAAGACATAGCAGGAGCTTCTAATGTTAAAGAAGAGGAACAAGTGAAGACGGAGCAGACTACTGTGTCTAAGAAAAAGAAGAAACATAGTTTAGAATTTAATATAGAACAAGGAGAATTTTCTGGTGCAGAAATAAAAACGGAACCCGTTGTTCCAAAAAAGAGCAAGAAATATTGTGTTCAGTCCAAAATAGATGACACATCACTAGCTTCTAGTATTAAGGAAGAAGCGCCAGCTGAGGCATCTCTAAAAGAAACGTTTAAAGATGTTCCAGTCGAAGCTGGAACAAGTGAAAGTAACTATAAAAATAAAAATGCGTATACAAAGTTTCGAATAAATATCGAATATAATAGTTGATTTTCAGTTTTTATATTTCACCATTAAATATCTTAATTGATTCGGCTAGAAAATAATGTATAAGTAATGTTGCAAAAACTGTAAACATTTAAAAAATATATACAGGTTTAAATCTCTCTTTACAGTAGCTACAAGATATTTCAAGATTTTTTTAAACAGATTTCTGTAATTTCGAATCTGTAATTAACATTCTAATTCATTAAGTTCTATCATTGTTAGACTCATAATTAAGCAGACTTTTATTCTATTAAATCGCGCAATTTTGTAATAAATAATAAAATAGCCGTCCAAATAAGAATTTATTATTTTTGTTTACAGGTAAGAAGAAAAAGAAAAAGAAAAAGGAAAAAGAAAGCGAGGAGCTGCAACAAACAGTATCTGCTGAAGAGGTGGAGGAACCAGTTTCGAGTGAGAAAAAGAAAAAGAAAAAAAAGAAATCAAAGCAAGAAATTTGAACCTCGACAATTTTCGAATAATCCTATATAAATAGGTATAAAGAATAAGAATATTTTTAATTAAATACGAAAGCTAAAGTAAAGAAGCTAGAGAAATCTGAGATTTGCTATCGAAGTATTTTTTTCTCAGGACTACATTTTAATTAAAAATCAAAGTTGGCGAATAGGATTATTAATCGAGATAATAGCTTAGTCTAAGCATCAATATTCTATATATTAACAAGGATTCATTTAAAATATTGTATAGTTTTCTCATAAATACATTTATGCATAAACGCTTCATTTTTTTTCGCCAATGTTCGAAACTGCGTGAATATATTCTTATTTTTTATACCTGTTTATATAGGATTACTTAAAATGATTGTTTAGGTTTCAATTTCTTGTAAATAATGCATTTAACATTTATAGCCATACTGAAAAACAGGTAGTTTGATTCAAACCCTTTGCTATTCAGTAGCTTGTTTCAGCTTCGACTGAAATATCTTCTAACGTTTCTTCCACTTTTACAGATGCCTCAGCTTGTACTTCTTTAATACTAGATTCTTCTGCTGTGTCATCTATTTTGGACTGAAAACAATATTTCTTGTTTTTTTTTGGAACGTCGGGTTCCGTTTTTATTTCTGCACCAGAAAATTCGTAATGAAAAAAAGAAAAAAGATAAATCGTCCAAGAAATTTAGCTAAAAAATATTACTGATATAATTAATATAGTATCATGATGCTATTAATATGTATTAAAATGTAATAAAATATATATAATTATATATAATTATATTTATTATATATAATTATACATATCTTATTGCATTTTAATACATATTAATCAGGGTTGGGTAAGTT